GTTCCTTCCATGAATCAATCCCAAACTTCTCAGCTGTTTAAACCACAGTCTCTCAACCTGAAGGCATTAAAATTAAGATATAAGGCAACATTAACATGGACGTACTCAAACTGCCATGACTAAGTACACACATTAATCGAATCAGTCCAGATAAGATGAACTAAATGCAACTCATACATAACGCTGCTGCAAAGACAGATACTGAGTTTCACTCAGCTCATGCAGTGTGACAAATCTTGTAACAGTATACAAAATCATGCATTGTGTGCTTCACAAGAATAGGCTGGAGGCTAAGATACGAACTCCAACACCCTTTCCCTTTCATCAGTTGAGAAAAGGAGTTCAGAGGTGAGAGCAGAAGACAGTACGTTGCGGACTGCCATGCAGGACAGTTCATTAAATAGTTGATCTTGACGCTTGCTCTCTAGAGGTACGAAACAAGGAACCATGCAATCTCTCAAGTAGCCCATTTAGGTTGCAGTGGCTACGTCTGCGATATGCCCCTTGTTTGTCCGTTGTCTTCACTAGTGAAGCCCGAGGGAACAACACACAAACAAGGGGCATATCACAGACGTAGCTGCTGAAACAGACTGTCTGGAATACACACATCACATAGCTTTAAACAAGGGGACGATGCCCCTTGAGGTGGAGTAGGATTTTACGAAAGATTTTAATTTACGTAGACTGCAACGGGAAATTTTAGCATGCATTAAAGCAGTGTAACACTTTACCCATCGAAACATCTGAGGATCGCCGTCTGTGGCCGAAACATGTTGTGTTGGTGTTCAATGGTGAATATTTTAACGATTGTTGCATTACTGACAGACTAAATACACAGACATTTAATTAAAAATGTGCAACAGGATACTGAAATACAGAATTCAATTAGATCAGTAGACGCCCACCAGAATATTTTACCGACCTACACTTACTCGTATACTAATGACAGACAGGAGAGCATAGTTGGTACTGTGACTAGCTAACGGTTGGATGACCAAGGCGTTGTGGTTTGGTTTCCCAGAAAGAACAAGAGACTTTCATCTTCTCCAGTGTCATAATCTGTTATGGAGCCAGCCCATCCTCGTACCAATTGGGTAAATCTGTTACTTTACCTGAGGGTAAAATGGCTGAGGAGTGAAGAATACCACCGCCCTTCAGCTACAACTGAAAGTTAAGAATGCATTGCTATGTGCAAAGTGACAAACGACTAAGTAACATTATTCGTGTATCCTGACTGGCATAAAATCAGGGAAAGCTCTTCCTGTTGGGCACAATATGTATGATTTGTCGCAGTCATAAGACAATTCCAACTAGATAACTCTGCTGTCTATGAATTTTAGAACACCTGTCAACAAACACTCTAGTAACATGCAATAAACCAATTATCTGTTAAAATTACAAAGCCTGGGCCTATACAAGTACATGAAAATATAAAATCTAAAAACTTCAGGTAATACAAAGCAGATGCTTAAGGATGGTGGAAACTATTGACACGTGTTGGGTATGTCATGCGACAAATAACTTCACGTGGGTCTCGGATTTAGCGAATCTTTATTGGACTCTCACTCTTACACACCTTACAATTATTACCACTTGCAATATCACTTGACTTCTTGCCCAGTACTCCAATGCGACGTCTCAACTATCCTTGGCCGTGGTTGGATCTCAACTGTCTTCAGCAACGGCTATCCCAATACTGTATTCCTACTATCTTTTGTCTCTCTGTAGCTCTCGGCTTATGTAGGTGTTCTGCGGACGTCTGCATTCGGTTTGTTCTAGCGTTTCCATGGAAGTAACCCTTTTGGATTCTAAACATGTCACAACATTGCAGAGCAACAAATGTTAACTTCTTATATGCAGATTTATCAAGCCTTAAATTGAATGAATACCTTACCTCCAACTTCTACGAGCAAACAAAATCATAACAAACTGAGTNGATAGGATTTATGGAAGTGAAATAAAGTATAGTATAGTATAGTATACTTGTGTATGGAACTTATTAATCAAAACTATCCAAAGTGCACAAGAAAGCAAGGAGTATAGTTCTGCAACGAAATGAGGAGATAGGGCATAGAGAACCCAAGAAGACAAGAAGCATGAGGATATAGAGAACAAGAAATTCTGGGAAGAACTAATCACCTGCTTTCCTTGATTCGACACAGACAACATAAAAAATTACGTGTCCAACAATTCTTCTGTTGTTGCATGTGTATTCCTTGACACGGTAATGTTTTGATCAAGCTGTTGCATAGCAATGAAAGAGGCTTCTTTACTGAGCTGTTGCCTACTAACAACAGAGGGAGACATATGCAGACATAACAGACTGATGGGATGAATTTATGAAGTATCCCAGTGAGATGGGCTCAGGTGCCATGATATACATACCAAGTTTCACAATGAATGGTTCAGCCGTTCAAAAGATGGTAGGTGGGGATACACAGGCACACAGGAGGCATGGGAATCGCATAAGCCTACTTTTATTTTTTCAAAATAAGTAGGCTAATAAATGAAAACCATCTACTGCAATTGCAGCACCTGCAAAACAAAGTTCTCCATACCACTGGAAATTTTCCAAGGCACACACCAGTTCGCGGTCAAGCATACGATCATTTGATGAGAGTGCTGTTGTAGTAGGAGTTAGTAATGACAGGGCATGATCTGCTGTACTCAGCCTTGACTGACAGAGGCCCTGAATATGTTGTGTATATATACATTTAATAACATGTAAAATGTAAACTGTACATAGCGACAAGACTTATTGCTGCTGACTGTAACTCTGGCAAATGGCAGCCCCATCCTCTTGTCAGAGAGAGCGCCCCACATCAAACTGCAACTGCAACTGTCTGACAGTAATAAGGATCTGGTCTTAGGCCCCAGGTGGGTGCTTCATTCCAAGATAGACTGGCCAACTAACTGTCAGTTGTAACATAACTTTGACTTTGAGTTGAGACTGATGGTGAGTCTGCAGGCAGTCAGTACTAGCCAGTTGTGGCTAGGAGTCAATGGTCAGGAATTACAGCCATGAGACAGTCAGTAGCCAGTAAGGACATGAACACAGAAGCTGAGTAATCTACAGTGTTGGGAGCGGTTCCAAAGAAGTGACTAGTAAGCACAGAGAAGACTTAATGCATGTGACACGCAATTGTTAAGTGCATGAACTAGAAACAGCACTATAAGTTTTTGTAGTTACAAATTGTAAGCATCCAGTATATCCAATTACCAATCGAAACTCCATGTCTAGTTACTTAACATGTGACAATACGATGGGAAGCATAAGGGTTAGTTTGGGTAGGTGGATGATTCAAACCTAGGAGCACATTTATATTTACAGTTTTTTCAGTCTTCTCATCTGGGAACTTATACGCCTCTAGTGAATAAACGGTTCTCAAAACTACCTGCCATACCATATTCATTTAATCAACAGAAGCAACCTATATATGAATGACATACCATCTTCACACCAGACAGCACCACAGAAATGAAACACAACACTATCAACATACAGGCACCCTCAGTAACCACACACAAGTGCACAGCACGCCACGAACAAACACAGGATGATACCAAGAATCTGCTTCTCAAGATAGACAGATGGCACAGGTTCAGCCCCCATCAAGAAAGATGATAGGAAAAGGGACATGAACCTACTTGGTTTATAAATTTTAACTTAAATAACAAAGTTTTAAAAAATTTTAATACCAAGAAAGCTGCTGTAGTTGTGGAAAAGTTGGATTTTGTACATATTGTGCATTACAAACATTGTATGTATATGCATTTTAACACTCAAAACATTTATCGTGATAGCAGCTTCAGAAAAGTATCGATATCCCTCTGATGATGGTCTATAGGGACCGAAACATGTGAGGGTGTCAAGTTTTCAAGTAGTAAAATCTTCAATACTCACACTGGACGGAGTTGCTTTGTCTTTGTAATTTGTTAGTGTGACGGACCAGAATGAAACAAATCAAACTCAAACACAACATTACCTCTCTTTTCAGAATAAAGAACTAAAAAAGCAGGACAGCGAAGCAATTATGATGACCATACAAGGTCAAAAGTGCTGCAGATGTGACAAGTGAAAAAGTGACAACACAGCACACTAACAGTCTCTGGGCACGACAAGAAGTTGTGCCTACAAGACTGCCCACACAAATTAAACCATTAATTATATATATTTATTTTCACTGCAATTGGGCTTATGCCCAGTGGCAGTGTTTACAAAAACGGACATACATTCAACAGAGATACAGCACATACGTCTCAAGAAATTTCACAGTACAATACAAGTACAATGACCTAATACAAGTACACTTCACTTGCCCTACTGATTTTGCTTTCCTAACCTTCTTTCTAAATATATGCACTTTAACAGTGTGAGTCCCAATCACCCCTTCAGGTAACTGGTTCCGGTCAGCAATGGTCCTGTTCACAAAGGAAAACTTCCAAACATCTGTTCTTATTTTCCTAAGATGATCGACTCTACTCATGTAGTATGGTGCCTGTAATCTGTCCCCTATATCTTTCCACGCCCTATCACCGTTATATGCTTTATAAAGTGCGCACATCCTTGCTGTCATGCTACACTGCGCCAAAGATTCCCAGACTGAGCCTCCTGTATAATGGGCAAATTTAGCAGCTTTATTTTGAATCTGGTCTAAAGCAGTGATCTGACATTCCCTGTATGGATCCCAGCACACCACCCCATATTCAAGAATGACACGTACTAGCAACGTGTAGGCTAAACATTTGGTATTTTTATTACCCCTTTTTACAATATGCATTACGAAATGTAGTGCCCTCCAGGCTTTTCGGACCATGTAATTTACCTGGTCAGCCCAGCTTAAATCACTTCGTATGATAATTCCCAAATATTTGCAAAAGCTAGCGTCAGGAATATTTTGGTCCCCAAGAGGGTAATTTAACGGATCCCTCACCCGTGCTCTCGTGAAGCTCACTGCCTTACTTTTATTTGGATTTATTTTAATTTCATTTTCTACCGCCCAGTTTCCCAGTCTATCCAGATGTCTGTAATTTTTCTATATCCTTGACATTTAATATAAATTAGGGTAACAGAACACTGAAATGTAACTGTAGATATCTTCTTGAGAGGTCACTGACAACATCCGTCCTTCCTGTAAGGGCATGCATGTGGTGCTGGTGTAATGAATTACACACTTCAATAACTTGCTTGATTTTTAATTACTTTATCAAGTTCCTGCAACCTCATTGCTGACAGCAACATTTGTACATATGGTTTGCTTTTTTTCACAGGTTTGTATCAGTGATAACACCTGTGCCCTGTTTCATGCAAGAGACTCTCCACCAATAAATCCACATTTGTGTCTATATATGGTTGGTGAACCCAGGTAGCTACATGATACATGATAGCTGCTTTAGTGCTGCAGTGAGCTATGTTATTCTTCACTCTGTTCTTTGCTCTAAGTTCAAGTGCGTAAGCCTCATAAACCTCTTCACTTACTTGCCCTGAAATATAAGAATTTTAATTACATTAATTGTTCCATTTTACCATGCATGTGTAAAATTTTATTTATTTATGGTAGCTTCAAATGGTAGGATGATTGGTGAGTAATTGATTGAAAGGGATATGGAAGGAAATGGTTGTGGTCTAATTTTGGGTACTATCCCAGTATATACCTGGTGCAAAACAAAAAGCATAAAATCATTAAGTCAGTCTACAGGACCTCTTGAATACAATGCAGGGAAGCTTTTCATTCAGCTGCAATGTTTGGTTGTGCTACTGAGATCACATAACTTCATAAACCATTATACAAGAATATTTAATACTCAGTACACATAAGTTTTGAAGCATGCCACAGTTAGTAGATGTAACTTAGTTTACAGATGAACATATTTGTAAGAACTCACAGTGTGAGTCTGTCTTGCAACTTCTGAACCAGCTGACCGAAGTTCATAAAATCTGATACGAACGTTATGTTATTATAGGCCACCTGAACATTGTACTTTTTTAATTTCCTACAGACAGTGATAACATCAATGACACATGAACTTGTGAGGTGGGAGTGATACTAGCACCAAGAATCCTGAAATTATGTATGGCAATATCTTCTGTTAATTTCTTGTACAATGTAAAATAACATGTCCACTGCATGAAACCTATATTTATCTTGTTGTTTGATGGTGACAACTAGTGACTCAATGGGACCAAATGTGACATTTTATATAGAGAAAGCATAAAGAGCCCATTAATTATTTGAGTTTTGTTTACATCAATTATAGCAAATATGGTGATGATGTCAAACTGAGATTATGCCTAACAAATTTTAGATAGACATTACCTGTACATACGTAGTAAGGCTTTCCTAAAAAGAAACTACTATTAGAAATAACAGCAATTTGTAACAGAGCTACAGTTGGAAGCAACAGAAAAATTCTGACTTCAGTAGGTTTCGACTGCATGACCATCTAAGCAGGTATATGGCACAATACCCCATGAGCTGAATTGTGTTTTATTGATTATGAGTAAAGTCACATTACCTAAATAATGATTAATAATATAAAATTTGTAGGATTGGAAATCTGGAATAAGAAAGTAAGCTTGATGAGTTCTGCCAGGAAGTTCTTGTTTTCACGGTCTAGTTCTAGCATAAATAAAGTTAATCAGTCTGTCTACAGCAAAATTTAAAGAGCAGCTTTCGCAACATTTTATATTCACTCTTTTCCTGCAATAAAAAATAAAACTGAACCCTGCATAGGTCCACCACCAGAAGCTTTCTGCCACCAACTTTATGAATTTACATCACATTATTACAATAAATGTTAAATCTTTACTATTTATACTATTTGAAATATCTTCTGGTAGTATACATGCATGTTAATAACAGATGACAAGAGATTTATATTTTTCCATATTGAAGTGTCTCTTTTTAAAATTGTTTGTGCATATTTGTAATAACCACTCGTAAAGTGCTTCCCCTGCATCTGTGAGAAAGGGCTGGGGGGGGGGGGATCAGGATGACTGGCCTCTGGGCATGGTGGTGAAATCATTAAAAGATGGTTCCATTCTATAAAGACAGAATTGCAAAGTTACATTTTTACCATATCTGTCTGATGACCATGTGAGGAACAGAGGTGTTTTATTGATATTTTGAAGTTTCTCAAGTTTCCCCACACTGTACATCTGTTGGGTAACTGCTCGTAGCTGTCCTACTATTTCATTCTGAAACAGAAAAAAAAAACTTTGATGAAAATTGTCTAATTAATTTCTGAATGCTTTTGCTGAAGATGCACCACATTCTGTTATTTTACCCTGGATATTATCCACTATCCAGTTTCCTAACACAAGCACAAGGCTGAGATCCAGTGAATAGGAGTTACTAAGTCTAATGGCATTTATCCATAATTCCATGGTAATATACCAGTCCATGCCAAACAGTAATGGAATTGACCCTCTGAAATTTAGGTCCCTTCTGATGCAAGGTCTAATTGAGAAATGGTCTGCTCTCTCTTATCCTGGATATGGCTGACCTTGAATCAAACTGCCTGCAAACAAACTGACTGAATGCCATGTCCTACAGCGAATTCTGTGGCAGTCCAAGTTAGAGGTAAAAGGTATCCCTATAACAGGCTGTGAAGGCCCATAGGGTTGACAGATGCTGAGGCTCCCACATTTTCTCTAGACATTCAGCTCACAGATGGTGGTAAGGTTGTCAGCCTTAAATGCCGGCCACACTTTACACGCCCCAGGAAGATTCCTGGTACTCATTTCTGTTAGAGGCTGAGGTGACCCTGGATACATAGTGTGGCTGGAAGGATTAAGTAAACTAAAAAAAAAATCCACTGTCATATGGAATATATCAGTGAATTTTGTCGCAAGAGCTCAACATGTGGCGCACTGTAGTGAAATCTGTGTTCTGGCTGCTGAGCAATGACCAAAAGGAACACTGTGTTGCTGTTTGCTCTAAGTTTAAGGAATTGACTGAAAACGACCCCAACTCCATCTCCACCATCACTACTGGTGATGGAAACTGGGTTTATGGATATGGCCCTGAGACACAGTAGCAATCATCTCAGCGGAAGAAACCAAATTCATGGGGACCCAAGAAGGCACAACAAATTCAAAACAATGTCAAATCACAAAAGATAAAACAACTCCGTCCAGTGTGACTGTTGAAGTTTTTACTACTTCAATTCTTAACAACAAGGTACAAAGAACACATAAGAAACATAAGACTAAACAAAGATGAATCAGCAATTGCCCAACATATACTAAACAAACGCCATCAGTACTTACCGGTGACAGTAATCATGGAAATGACTGAGAGAGGAAAAAAAAAAAAAAGCACCATGAATATAAAAGACTTCCATATATATTGCTTTAATAAGCTCAACAAATTGACAGAAGAACAAAAACACGCAAAAGAAAGTAATAACCAACATAACATGTTCGACCTCATAATACAACATCAGAACACACCCACATTAAGGTCACAGACACANTCCTTCTCAAGAAAGACAGGCGACACAAGTTTGGCCCCCATCAAGAAAGGCAATAAGAGAAGAGACACGAACCTATTTGGTTTAGAAATTTTAACTTAAATAACAAAAGTTTTAAAAACTTTAATATACCAAGACAGCCACTGTAGTTGTGAAAACTTTGGATTTTATATATATTGTGCATTACAAACATTGTATGTGTATATATTTCAACATTCAGAACACTCATTGTACTAGTGGTTTCCAAAGAGTATTGATGTCCTTCTGATGACGGTCTATAGGGACCGAAACATGTAAGGGTGTTAAGTATTGAAGTGGTAAAAACTTCCAACAGTCATACTGGACGGAGTTGTTTTATCTTTTGTAATACTGTTAGTGTGACGGACCAGAATGAAACAAATCAAATGTCAAATCAATGTTGATTTGTTTTTTAACACTGAAGGCATTATACACAAGGAATCTATTCCACTAGGACAGACTGTGAATAGAAACTTATACTGCGATGTTCTGAGACAGCTGAGGGAAAACATCTGTTGCAAAAGTCCAGTCAAGTGGCACAACAATTCTTGGGCCCTGCCCCATGACAATGTGCCCACTAACACCTCACTCCACATGCTGCAGCTTTTGACTTCAACGAAAATAACAGTCACCACCCACCCACCCTACTCACCAGACCTCGCCCCATGATTTCTTCCTATTTCCAAAAATTAAATTGAAGCTCAAGGGGTGATGTTTTGAGGGCACTGAAGATATCCAGGCCAAATCGCAGGACATGCTTAAGATGCTGACACAAAATATCTTCCAGCAGTGCTTCAAATCGTGGAAACCTTGCTGCGATCGCTGTATTAATTCAGAAGGGGACTACTTTGAAGGAGATGGAGGAGAATAACAATTGCAATAGGTGGTTAAGCTTAGGCAGACGAATTTAGGGAAATTTCATAAACTTGGGTCAAAGGTCAGGGTCAAATGTTATTCTGCCCTGAGTTATTGCGGGTTGGATGCCAAATGAAAGCTCTACTCATGAGCCCTAAATTTGCACTAGAATAAACACTATATCTTAATTGGGATCAATTATAAGTGTTTTAGTGGATCTAAACGAGGGAAAATACTACAATCACTCAAAATTTCAAAATGTTCTACCCCTCCAATTAACGAGCACAAGGAGGTAAAATTCCACGTCACTTCCTAATGCAATCCAACACAGAACCAGAGATTGTCATGAAAATTCTGCCCCTAAAGTGTATTGGTTTCACATGGAATAAACCTATAGAAATTAAACTGGCACCTCTAGGGTCAACATACCATTGTCTGTACCACTTCATTCAGCTGCTCACACTGCTCCTGAAGCCCTTCTGGATATATCTGTGAACTGCCTTCAGCTCCACCTTCGATCCTGAATATAAAAATTCAATCTGTCTCTGGTCCTTGATTCTCAATTCAGATTGCACTTTCATCATAACTCTACCAGATTTCACCACAAAATGGTAATGTATCGAAACCAATGGAACCTTTTATTTGTGAGTACTCATCACAGTAATGAAGTCTGTGGAGTTCACTGTAGTTTTATTCTACTGGAACACTGGTTTTGTAACACAAAAAGTTCAGTACCTTATAAAGGTACGTACTGGTAAAATTTCAGTTGACGAAGGCACTATTGTAAGCAATGTTCTCCTCCAACTCCATCCGTTCACAATGAAGTTCTCCCCATTCCACAGCTGTGATTACGTACAGGTAACAGCCTGCTGATGCTCTGCAGTGTGAGGGTGTGGCGGGACTGGAAGATACTAAGGCTCTGCCAACCTTACAAGTGTAACTTCTTCCTACAATATCTTGCACCTAATTTATATTTAGGAATATGTGAAGCATCCATTTCATAGTCCATTAGATGATGTTCTGCCACACAAATTACACTGGGTTCCTCATTTAATAAAGATATCATTAACTTATTAATTTTCCCTTTTATTCCCCTAATATTTAGATGAAATATCTTAAATAGGTTATTTATATCATCATTCTTATTACACGACTGATTACTTAGTTGTTCAAACACAATGTGCTTTTGTCAATTTGAAATTACTTCTGCCACAAAAAATCCTTGCTTCTCGTGATGGTGGCTTTATTTTGCCTACTTAAGGTCCTACCTACTTGTGTCCTACCATCTGATATTCTACCTTCTTCTACCGGAACGTCTAGGTCCGCAACGTGAGACATAACTTCTTCATTGTCTGACGTGGCAGCTTTAGTTTCTTCTTGTGTAATTATATTATCCCCACTTGAAGTATAACTTATCCCATCCTCATATTCAGTTTTCCAGTACAATTTGATTGGTAACAACATTAGCTATCTTCAATGCTGCTTTTCCTTTACCCATATTGTTCATATGCAGACCATGTTTAGTAAAAAATTCCCTTTTGGCATCTACTTTTACCACTTTAACATGCTTGAAAGGCTTCATAAGCTTCACTTAGTGATCAAATTCTGGCAGAACTTATTCAAGCAGGAGGTGAAATATTACATTCTAAGATTCATAAGCTAATTAATTTTATTTGGATTAAGGTAAAATTGCCTGATCAGTGGAAGGATTACCAATTGTACCAATTCATAAGGGTGATAAAACTGACTGTAGTAAATATCGTGGGATATCAATGCTGTCAACTTCATCCAAATTTTACCTAATATCCTTCTCTCAAGGTTACGTCCAAATATAGTGGAAATTACTGAGGATTATCAGTGTGGTTTTGACAGTGGGGTAGGTTTCCTCCGAGTACTTTGGTTTCCCCTGCCAATCTTCATTCCATCAAATTCTCCACAAATAAGAATATCTAACTAATTCTAAATTGTAATCAACTGTAAACAACTGTAACTATTGTAATTTTAATCTTACTCATATATTAAATTGGTAATATTCAGAATTAACTTGACTTGTCCTATATCATGTACAATAATCTACAGTGACGAAATAAATAAATAAATAAATAAATCAATCAATCAATCATAACATATCAACTACCGATCAATTTTTTTTGACAGATACTGGAGGAAAATGGGAGTACAATGAGACAGTATATCAGCCATTCATAGACTTTCAGAAACACTATGGTTCAGATAGGAGGGAAGTATTGTACAATATTCCCATACAGTTTGAGGTACCCACGAAACTAATTAGGCTGATTAAAATGTGTTTAAATGAAACCCATGGTAAAATCTGTATATGTAAACATCTGTCTGATAACTATCCTATCCAAAATGGTCCAAGTCAAGGTGATACTTTATTACAACTTCTTTTCAAATTTTGTCTTAGAATATGCCATTAAATGAGACATATCAGCTGCTGGTCTATTCTGACTACGTGCACCTACTGAGAGATAACACTGATACCAAAAAGAAAAACACTGAAACTTTAACTGATGCTAGTAAAGAGGTTGTTCTAAAAGCAAAAGGTAGAGGAAATTAAGTATATGTTGCTGTCTGGTCACAAGAATGCAAGGCAAAATCATGACATAAAGATAGAAAACAGATGTTTTGAAAATGTGGCACAGTTCAGATACTTGGGAGCTACTATAACAAATCAAAATCTGATTCAGAGGGAAATTAAGAGGAGACTGAACTCAGGTAATGCTCGCTACCATTCAGTCCAGAACCTTTTGTCTTCTCGTCTGCTGTCTGAAACCTTAAAGCTTAGAATATACAAAACTATAGTTTTGCCTGTGGTTCTGTATGGGTGTGAAACTTGGTCTCTGACATTAAGGGAGGAACACAGACTGATGGTGTTTTAGAACAGGATGTTGAGAATATTTGGTTAGAGAGAGATGAAGTGACAGGAGGTTGGAGAAACTGCATAAAGAGCTTCATAACTTGTTCTGTTCTCCAAGTATAATTAGAATGATGAAGGCGTGAAACATGAATGGGGGCAAAGAGGAACGCATATAGGATATTGGTGAGAAAGCCAGAAGGAAAGCAACCACTACGAAGACTAAGATGCAGGTGGGTGGAAATATTAAAATGGATCTTTGATATAGGATTGGGTGGTATGGACTGGATTTATCTGGCTCAGGATATGAACCAGTGGAGGGCTCGTGTGAACATGGTAATGAACCTTTGGGCCTCATAAGATGTCGTAAAATTCTTGATTAGCTGCACAGCAAAATAATCTCCACCAGCTTCTTGTAAATTTTAGTAAATACTAAAAGGGAGTTTACTCTTTAGGAACAAAGGTCTATAATAATCTACCATAGCATATTAAGGATATATTGAGTGACATTAAGAGTTCTGAGGTATAATTAAAACAATTTTACATTCTTTTTATTCTTTACAGCAATATTTTGGTTATAAATCTTTTTTAAGATGCGAGTAGTTATCTTGCTTTACAATTAAAAGAAGACAAGATTGTCAGTCTGTGTTCTGGTTTTTAGATGCTTATTTTAGATATACACAATCTTTATATCACTGTATACTAGTCTTTATTTCAATTTATTATATATTTAATGTATGTTATACAAAACTCATTAATGACATTGTGTTTTAACTACTGAATTTTTAATTAATAGACTTGTAAAAAACTGTACAAATTGTATAAGGTTTGCCATTAATTTTACTACTAAAATTAACTTATTTACTATATTGTATATGTTTATCAGTAGTTTATTACAAATGTATATGCTATTGGATGACATCTGTAATTCTTAGTTGTGACTGTAACCAGGATGATCTCCACATCCACATGAGAATGTATTCTTGACAGGATTTATGGAAGTGGAACAAATGCAATGAAATGAAATGAAACAACTGGCAGCTTCTCAAGGGCTCATCTCCATGAAGTTATTTATGGTAAAGGTAACTGGCTGAGGAGGCCCATAGAGTGGTGTGACGTTGAGGCTTCCATAGATTCTAGACAACTAGCGGTGAGGTTGTCAGCCTTACGCACCATACGCCTTTTACCCCTTGGTACTCATTTCCATTCAAGGCTGAGTCAACTCTGGGGCCACAGTGTGGTTGGAAAGATTAGGTCAATTGTAAAATGCAATGACCTCATCGGGAATCAGACCCACGACCATCTGGCTAACTATCCAACAAATAATAATTCAGACAAGAACTATGATTTTAAGAAAACAATGTTTGATAGAAATGCAGTACTTACAGAACTGGAAGTTTCATGCTCGTTATAATGTTCAGTATTTGTACTCCAAGCAAATGTTGAGCATTCCATTCTTGTATGAGATTGTACAGGTCTGCAGCCAAGTCTCGTACTCTTCGAGCATTTCCAGTCAGATTACCACACTGGAGTAACTTTTTTGCAGGACTTTCTTGAACTAAATAACACAATGATATCCAACCATTAATCGTACGTCTAACAGGATAATGGGAAAACAGTTATGGGAACAAAAACAAATCTAGGATTCAGTGGCCAACAGGGCCGGTCTGGACCGATTAACCTGTCATAATCAATAGTAAAATATACACCGTAATACAGTAGAATTTGTTTGAAATACCCTGATATGAAGGTGTAAATCTGCAATGTTAACGTCCCAGTTGGAATTTGAAACCAATTTTGGAAATCTGTGTTCATTTACCTGCAACGCCTGAAAAATGCGGCAGTGACTTGTTGCCAAACGACGTAATTCCCTCCATTTTAGCAAGATTACCATTTATGGCATTAGTATGTGACCCATGTCCATGCATAGCTCCGTTCATAAATGTAACTAGTGTTTAAACGTTAACATTATATTGTTTTGGACAAAATGTGCACTGGTTTTCTTCGGTATGCACAATCAATGATTTTGGTCTGCAATTTCCGGGTTCGTACAATTTCCTGCCTTCTACAGGTTCTACAGTCTCAATCGGTCTGAATTATAGGGCTTAAAGCGGCAGTTTTAAAATTCTGTCCTGCCGGGAATTGAACCCCGGATTTCTAGGTCGTCTAGTCCATAGACTAGTCACTGTTGTCTTAAAGACGATGTAAACAATTAAATTAGTTTATATTATTTGCTAATAGATCGAAACTATGTGATAAGTTTCTGTTACCTATGAAAATTACATTGATGTCTTGTTTTACATTGTGATGCATTTTAATAATATGCGAAGGATTACCTGATCTTGGTTCACACTTAACAAAGTGTATGGATTTTTTAGCTATATCCAATGAGAATGTTCGTGGACAATACGGGTCTGGCGGTATCGACTAGTATGAAAGCGCCGAAAACAGCGTATGGTCGTGAACGATTAGGTTGGGGTTATATCGGTATCTACCGAAGGAAGATAAATTTGGGAGCGTTTCTAACGGCGCGTCATTCAAACATGCCCTTGACCCATATATCAAGGTGCTGTTATCGGAACTCGTGCAAACAATATACTGCGGTTGCAGCGTTTTGTGTTTTTCCTCTGTAGTCATGGAGGTTAGTTTACTGGGTTAAGTGTGTTACACAACGTGTTTGTTATCTGAGTCGTTACATTGATTGTATACATATATTTTTCATATTTTTTTTTATATCATGTAACTGTGAGTGACAGAATAATTATATGTAAATGTGTGACTAGTGCCTTGGAGTTGTAGTAATGAATTCCAAGATAGTTGTAATTGGATCTTGCAATATAGACTTGCAGTGGTAAGCTCCTTAATGTATAAAGTCCTTGATTCCCACTACATCATTATTTTTGACAAAATATACAACAATCTTGTTTTTAAGTGAGGTTAGTATTTAGTGGGATATATTTCTTTAGGCGACTTTTTGAGTTCTCTTACCATATAAGGTTGAAATCACAACCTGTGGAAAATTTAAATGATTAATATGTGATTTTCCTTGTTTCAGTTTCACTCCACGTCTCCCAAGGCCAGGAGAAACTCTCCATGGTACAGAATTCAGGAAGGGCTTTGGGGGTAAAGGAGCAAACCAGTGTGTAGCTGCTGCAAAACTAGGATCTTCAACAGCAATGATAGCAAGGGTGAGGAAACCAGATGTAATAAAACAGTAATTGCTGGGACCATTGTTTTTAAGTTGTGGCTCAACCACACACAGCACTTCAACAAAACATGAATTTCAGTGTGCAGGTGCATTTGTTTCACTTCTATAAATTGTGTTATAAAATGTATTACATATTGCCTGACAGAGAAACTGACCTTAGAATTTTTCTAGTCATTCATACGACTTTTTATTACTTTTATTTTATAGATGATACTTAAGAAATATTTTGATATTGTTAGAATTTTTAGTAGTTTAAATTCAACTCGTATACAAATGTAAAGATTAAAATGTACAAAACTATAATTGTACTTGTTCATTTATATGGATGTGACACTTGTTTTCTCGCTCTGAGGGAAGACCATAGATGGAGGGTGTTTAAGAACAGAGTGTTCAGGTTAGTGGTTATACCTAAAAGGGTGGAAATAAGTGTAGGATGGAAAAAATTGCATATTGAAACCTTTCTTAATTTGAAGAAAGCAGTCTTCTGGGATTTGGCACCGTGTATATGTGGTGTTAACCGACATTTTGGAGGAACGTATCGCCTCCATCTTCAGGGTAGAAGGAAAAATATAAGAAATCTGCAGGCAAAGAGACCATGAGAACTGGTGCAAGCACACCTAGGTGTGAAACAAATGACAGTACTGTGATGGATCCAAAAGAAATGGGATGTGGACGGGATTCATGTAGCTTAGGGTAGGAACCTGTGGTGGGCCGTAGTGAGCAAGACAATGAACCTTCAGAATATCTTTAAGTAGCTATACAGCTGTTAGCTTCATAAGAACAAAGATCACAGTAGAGTTGGTAGCAATTTTGACTTATACTATGGAGTAGTAACCACGTCTTTCCACATTCCTTCCAGTTCATTCTGTAATCTTTTCACCATTTGCTACTATATGGTTCAGGCTATTGAAAGTGTCAAAGGTTCTTCTTACAGCTAATTTTAACTTTTCACATTGTGGATGGTAGCCAGATAATGTTTATTCCTTTTTAACCCTTTAACCTGTTCATTTCTAAAGCAGCAGCATACTATTCAATCAAGATTCTCTTCTACAGATATTCGAATAAATTCTTCAGGTTTAACGATATTGTTGTAGACTCTGAGGTTCTCACAGTGGTGGTTATAAAGATTTCTGTCATCTGGTATTTAACACCATTTAGTCTGCTGAAAGTCAACTGATGTTTTGGAGGAATGTGTTGCCTCCACCTTCAGGTTTGAAGAGTAAACCAAGCTAGAAACCACCATGAAGCAGGCATCAAGCAGAGAAAGCAGGCAACATGTTTATTTGTTTATTTATTTATTTACTTCATATCCATGGATCATCATACATGATATAGGACAAGTCAAATACTTTACAATAATAAATAAGAATAATAATAATATAATAAATAATATAATGATATAATAATATACTAAGATAATACAATGATGATTCTAATAATAGAACTAATATAATCGTTTAACACACGATACCGCTGTACACCTCAAGACCCGATCCTTCTATCCAGGCACAAAATACCCTGGTATCCTCGATCTCGTTCCTGTAAGAAAAAATGCAGTAGGCATTCCTATAACATTACTAATATTAAAATCTACAAGTTAATTATTCTTGAAATATATGTTTACAAGTGATTAGAACTAGGATTTGCCCCCAAACAAGAGAAACTCGTCTATACTATAGAAAAAATGATCAAGTCTTCAAAGTCTTTTTAAACTTGTATAGTACTGGTATCTCTTTGATATACTGTGGCAGCTGATTTAACATATGAAGCCTAATATTATTGAAATTGTTTTTGTATAGACTCGTACTGCATGGCACTATGAATAAGTCCTCCTTTCTCCTTGTATTGTGTGAGTGTATTCCGGAATTGGTTATGAAAACATTCAAATTGGTTTTTATGTAAACTAGAATTTCATATATATACAGACATGTTAAAGGTAATATATGTAATGGTTTAAAATATTATTTACAACTAATAGTTTTTGAGATTTGTATCATAGCTCTAATAGCTCTCTTCTGCAACCTAAAGATCAATTTTGCATTTCCTGAATTGCCCCAAAATATCAGTCCATATAATAACAAGGATTGAAAATAAGCATAATATAAGGTGCAAACAGTCTCTAACCCTGATACTCTTTTGACTACTCGTAAGGCAAAACATATTTTACATAATTTATTTGCTAATTGTTGAGTATGTGCAGTCCACAATAGCTATATTGTAATAATACTGTAAAGTACCTAAAAATTCACTGTATGCTTCGTTCACTGAAATTTGCTTAAAAACAAGCCTTCAAGTCTTTTTCTAGTAGATAGTTTAGGTATTATACATTCTCTTCCCTGTAAGATCTAACTATTCTGAATTCTTCCTTTAGTCTAACTTGCCCTTCTTATTCTTATACTGCATCTGTATTTGTAATATCTGTGCTTTATGGTCAGAAAATCCTGTTTCATCACCTTAAGATTGTATCCCCATAAGCCTCTTTTTTGTATTATTTGATCTAATGCTGTTTGGCTTCTAGTTCCTCTGAAACACTGGTTGACTTACAGCAGACCACTCATCATTATATCCCAGAAGATAGAAATATTTACAACTTTTTTTATTTCTCAGTTCAACTCCTTTTAACAGGCACAAACATCTAAATGTTCAAAGAAATGTAAAAGGAATGTATTTGATGTTGTTGCGAAGAAGTAGAACAAACTGAAAATGAGTGTATGCAGGGTTTATCCAGTGGACAAGCTACATAGACACAAGTATAGTTTAGGTTAGTCCTGAAAGGGTTAGTAGTGTGTGCATGGAAAGCAGGTGTTGAGTTGTAAGATTCGAGGCTTTCACGGCGGTGACTATGAAGAAAGCAGTTTTCTGGGATTTGGCACAGTGTATATGTGGTGTTAACTGACTTTTCCAGTCTGCTTCTACCGGTTCTCACGGTCTCTTCGCTTGCAGATTTCTTATATTTTTTCTTCTACCCTGAAGATGGAGGCGATACGTTCCTCCGAAACGTCGGTTAACACCACATATACATGGTGCCAAATCCCAGAAAACTGCTTTCTTCAGGTGTTGAGTTGTATTGCATCCATTATTATCTGCGTAAACATATTATTTTGTTTTCTTTTTTTCTTTCCAGTTGGGTAATGATTCCTTTGGCCAGGAGTTCCATAGGGCCTTGAAAGACAATAAAATCAACACGGATTATGTACTCATGACAGATGGTGTCTCAAGTGGCCTGGCATTGATTACTGTGGCACAGAATGGTGAGAGAACATTAGTTTACACATAATGCAAGGTTTAAATTGTTTTTCCCCTTGTTCTGTACTTCTTTAGACTTCACTTGATCACACTGAAATTTGTAAGCTCAGTACATGTGTCATTTTGAGCTTTGTCATCAGTGATTGCTTGGATGTCATGTATGTAGCAGATGAAGACAAAAAGAGGGCTCATAAAATGGAAAGGGCAGAAGATTAAGATGTACTGAACTTCTGTTATGGCTGAAATTATACTTCTAAAATCTTGATGCAAAAGTAACAGTTCTCATCAAGAATGCCATGTGACAAGGAATTCCAGGTAGAACTTGTAATGCCTACTTTCCTCCTTCAAAGACCAATCGCTTGGCTTCTTAGGTCGCCAGATTTAACCCCATTGGATTTTTTCTTGTGGGGTTATGTGAAGAACATTGCCTACCATGTTAAGATCAAGGAACTTCAACACTGAAAGCCCACATAAGGGACGCTGTGGCTACGGTAACACCAAACATGGTCCAAGCAATGTGGGATGAGGTCAGATATCATCTGGATATTTATCATGCCACCAAGGAAGCCCACGTTGAATTTTATTGAGAAAGTTATATGCTCAGAAAAAACTTTGATATTTTCCTTATGTAATGGTGTAATCCACAAATGTGTATAATATATGGTTTTATGAGATATATTTGTTTATTCTGGATACCTTTCATCTGGACACTCTGTACATATATATATATTTTGTATTATTATTTTTTTTATTAGTGGGGTGAGACTGAGTCAACTTGGTACTGTGACCACTATTGGCCTATTGTACCCACCCCAGATGATAGATGATGGTGACTATGAAGCAATTCGTGGAATGGAGATTGGTAGGGGAACTGAAGTACTTGGAAAAGAGCTGCCCAGCGCCACTTTGTCCACCACAAATCCTACATGACCAGACCTGGGTTCGAACCCAGGCCACCGCAGCGGGAACCCCATGACTAACTGCTTGAGCTATGGCATGGCCTTATATATGCTGTATATATGGGGAAGTTCTTACCTCAGTTGACTGGTTCATGGTACTGTGTTTCACAGTGACCGGTTTACTGCTGGCTACAAGACGGATATGAATTTGGCATCAAATCAGTATGCCTTATGGCTGATAACGTTTGGAATGAAAGGAAGTTCATTAACTTTGTGGGAAACTTGACGACATATTTTACAGCAAGCAGTGTGGTTCATGTGTGGGAATTTGTTTATGATAGGTCAGCAGTGAGCAGCAGTTATTAGCTCCATTAGCCATTTGTTCTCAGTTACAATTAGTGAGCAATGTGTTACATCATGGTACATTATACTATAGAGCAACATGTATCTCTATATGGCACCTATGTGCAATACAGTTCTGTTGGAAAGTGCTGGCAAAAATTTTGATGTAAATTTCTTGTTGAAAGAGTACCTAGCAGACAAATAATTTGCAATTTGGTGAATGAACTTAGATCAGTGGGACTCTTGGGCAGGAAACGAAACAAGCTCTGAATGCTTACTGAGGAGAAGTTAGATGGCATAGGAGCCAGGCTTCAACATACACCTAGAAAATCACTGAAACTTCTAAGTCAAGAGTCTGGAGTGTCAAAGTCTAGTGCAAGAAAGCAACACAATTGCTGAATCATAGAACCTATATAACAACAACAATCCACACTTTGCAGCCATGAGATCCAGCTAGCAGGGTTCATTTTTTAAATTGGTTTCTACAGTCATGTCAAAGATGAGATCAATCTGCAATTGGCATTCTGTTCTGATGAAACAAGTTTTCACTTGTAGGATACATAAATACACAAAATAATCACTACTGGAGTTCACAGAATCCACATCTAACCCACTAGTCCTGCTCCATCCAGTGAAAGTTGGTGTCTGGTGTGCTGTAAGTGCATGAAGGGTTCTTGGACCTGTGTTTTTTAATGAGACAATTAATTGCAAAACATATGTGTGTGGATCATTGTGGGGTAATTCTTTCCAGAGCTAACAGAAGAAGGACTCTGTGGCTTCTTTCAGCAAGACTTAGCTACTACCCACACCATGTATATTTATGCAGGCTTTGTTTTTGAGGGCAGAATTATCAGCAGTGATATTTGGCCAGCAGATTCACCCCATCTTAATCCTTGTGATTTCTTCTTCTGGGGTTGTTTGAAGGACAGAGTTTACAAAAGTAACCCCTGAATGTATCAAATATAAGAAAATTGCAAATAATCCTGCAAAATAACTTCAGAGGGTAAATCAGAACTTCTGCTGGTGCAAGGAATGTCTGTATGTAGAGAGACAGCATTTTGAACACCTCATGTGCTCTGTGAATTGTAACTATTTCATTCCAGATGTCATCGGCCAACAGGCATATTGATTCATCGGCAAAACTTGTATCTGCCTCACAGCTGGCAGTGTACCAGTCACAGTGCTGTGAACCAGTTAAGAAAGTAAGAACTTCCCTGTATATTCACACAGTATACTTCTCTATTTGAATGTTAATACGTGAGGAAATACATTCACTATTGTTTATGTGGTGAACATTTGTATTGTGAATAGAAGTAAAGGATCATCCATTTTTCCACAGAAGCAGACCAGTATAACTGTACTGAGGTAGAGTACTTCTGTCCATTTTTGTTTATACTGCAGGTATCCCCTGATTTTTCACTATTTTGACTTGTGAATTTTGTGTTAACACAATTTTATATTAGTTATTTAATTTCAATACTATTATTAAAGACTAAACGGTAATGAAATATTTGTGTAAAAATTATTAGGATTCATAAATGGCTAGAATGAATGGTATTTCAGTAAATAGAATTATATATTTTTCAAAGAAAGCTGAAGGTAATGTGAAACCAAAGAAGTAAAAAAATAAATTTGACATATGCTATCACTCTTGGCAATGGAACAGTTGTGTAGGTTAGGGGATACCTGTATATTATTTCAGTATTATTGTTGTGATGCAGGGGAAAATGCTATTGTCATTGTGGCTGGAGCTAACAATAAACTGAGTGTTGCTGATGTTCACGAGGCGTCTGAGATAATCAGAAGGGCTAGTGTGACAGTGTTTCAGTTTGAAACTCCAATAGAAACAACAATTGAAGCACTCAAGATTGCNATAAGTAGGATATATACAATGTTTGGAGAGGGTACTGTATGCCTCCCCCTACTTTGCTACTGCTACATTCTGGACCATTACACTAATTATGAATGATGTCAGGAATTGGGGACCTGAAAGGACTAATTTTTACAGTGAATTTATGTTGTTTGTTATTCCTTTATGATTATTATTATTATTTCTTCCTTATTCCATTACATCTATAGTAGGCTAAAGCCTTAGATACAGAATTGTGTCAGTTTATCTTGCTAATACTATCAAGCAATTGTCAAAAAGACTTATAATATATGACACTGTTTGTTTACATCATAATACGTTACAATTACTCTCAAAATTATCATTTAAAATAAAAATTTAAGATAAAAGTTTCCGTCAAAAGTAACAGAATATTTTGGTCATATAGCTTTCACATATACAACAAATCCAACATATAAAAACATTCAGTTATAAGTATGGTTATCGTACATTCACAATGATTATCCATTTACTGTATTACTCAACATTTTATATATTTATATAGTTGTATAATCGTTATCTCTTAAAAAAATCATCCACTGTATTAAAAGAATTTAAATTAAGAAATTCCTTTACTTGTTTTTAAACTTATTTATATCATTAAAAGTTACTTTAATTTTATTAGGTAGTGCATTGTAAATCCTTACGGCCATGTGAATTACCCCATTACCATATTTCGCCAAATTTACTTGGCTCATATGTATATCCATATTATGTCTAGTATTTATTTCATAGCGATCCGATCCCTGTTTGTATCTAATATTTCTCTATTTTTTTACTACAAAACATCAGCAGGGAGTATATATCCTGTGATCTTGAAGGAAATATATTCATATTCCTAAACAGTTCTATGCATGACTCTCTGTAGCCATATCCTCTTATTATTCTTATAACTCTCTTTTGTATCTTAAAAACTCTTTCTGCATGTGTTGAGTTACCCCAAAACATTACTCCATATGTCATAATAGAATGGAAGTATGAATAATAAACACTTTTTAATGTTTTTACAGACACCACTGGTTTTACATTTCTTATCATATAACAAGCTGTATTTAATTTCTTTATTATCTCATCTATATGTCTATCTCAGAGGGTCAAAGAATAAACCAAGCAAGAAACCAGCATGAAGCAGCTAGCAAGCAAAGTGTTGTATCCTGATAGATAGAACTCTTCATACCCACTGCTGAGCAAACCTCAAATCATACATACTGTTATAAGATGTATAAGTGATGGTCATTATGTTAATATTAATGCTGCATGATTTTTTTAGACGTCAAGATAATTTGTCATCACTGTTCAAAACATTTAATGATATTTTACATTTCTACATTCTGTCTTTGTCGTAGGCATTGCCATTGTTAATGCAGCACCAGCAGTGACCAATCCTGATCCTCTGGTTTTCAGGTTGTCAGATATCTTCTGTGTCAATGAATCTGAGGTTTGTATGACTGATGCTGTAGAAGTCCTCTTTAATGTAATAAGATCAGGCTACAGTGTGTAGGTGTCACAGGATCACAGAAAAATAGAATTTTTACATTTTGGATGCCTCTTTTTGTGCAGTTTTTGCACAGTGGGCATCAAATGAATTCATGGTAGGGAGGTAATATCTATCTTTTCATCTGTGTGTTTGTCTCCAAAACTGCTGACTGGATGTCAAACAAACACAGGATTTCACATTTCAGATTTATTTTTTCATTTTTTGTACAAAGCACATAAATTGATCCCACAATAGGGAAACTATGTCTGGCAATCCATCTGCATAGTTCATTTCCAGAACTGCTGAATGGATGTCAGGGAAATCTACTGTTGGCAGTTTATACTAAGAGTTGAGAGTCAAATTTAATTTTGGTCTTGTGTGACTCCTATTTTACATGAGCTCAAACTAAATCATAACTGTTCCCCATACAGAAAATTGGTGCTTAACATAAACAACATCTCATTAAGATGTACAGCTTTTATTTAAAACCTTTTGGTATGACATGTTCTTCTTCTGCTTCAAGGGGTTAGGACCTTCTGGCCTGTTTTGTCTTCAGTTGAATTTGTATTTCCATCTTGTCTTCAGTTTTACTGTATCTCTGTGTCCTCCCAGTTTTCAATCTTTGTGAGTCTCTTTTCAGCCATTCTTAAAATTCTTAAAATGTGTTCATACCAATTCTTCTTTCGTGTTTCTGTTTCCTTATTCAAATTATAGATTTTTTTTTATTGCTGGTGGGGTGGGACTAAGTCCCTTGTACTGTGGCCACTTCTGGCCTATTGTACCAGCCCCAGATGATAGGTGAGGGTGACTGTGGAGCAACTGGTGGAATGAAGATTGGCAGGGGAAACTGAAGTACTCGGAGAAAACCTGCCCCAGCACCACGTTGTCCACCACAAATCCCACTTGACCAGACCTGGGATCGAACCCGGGCCGCTGCGGTGGGAAGCCAGCGACTAACCGCTTGAGCTATGGAGCAGCCCCATTATAGATATTTAATTAGCTGTGTATTTCTGTATTGTTAAGTCTATGATTGTAAATCCAGCCATTGATCTAAGGAACATCACTTCATCTGACTCAATCTTTCTCTTATCTGACCACTTCATTGTCAAATTTTCAGTTTTGTAATTCAACATAAGGAATGTCATCATTTAATAAAATTTTGGTTGTGTGGTTTCTGACCTCTTTGTCTCAGAGTTCTTACTACTCTGCAAACCTAGAATTTATTCAATTTGATATTTATATTTTCATGTTGACAATAGGCTGTTCCAGAGGCTAAGTAATTAATATTGCATACTTGTTTGATTATTTTATTATTCAACACTATTTTGCATCTAGCATGGTTTTTCTCTTGAAATGTCATTTTGGTTCTACTGGTTAATATTTTTGTTCATCATTTTCATCAAAATAGTTAATTTCTGCCTCTAAGTTATCCTGTCTTGTAAAAAAATCACCTAATCATCTACAAATAACATTAATTAAGGTTATTCTAGTAATTTTTATTTCTTGGATTTTATTACTGTTCCATTGATTAATGGCTTTGTATATGCCAAACAAAGATGGAGACAAGAGGTGCCCTTGTTGTACATCTTGGTTTATTGCCTCAGAATTTTTTGCTAACCTTTGTTCACTATCTGTATTTATATTATTATTTTCCTGCAGGCTCTGTTGCTTTTATCAAGTGATCAGGGGATACTTTTATACCTCAGAGTTTTCCACAGTATACTTCATAGGACTCTTATCAGATGCTTTCTTATCATTGACAGATAACATGTATTGCAGTAAATATTCTCTCCTCTTTTATGTAAGCTGTTTAATTACAAATATACAGTCAGGCCGTGAACATCCTTTTCCACATCCACACTGTTCTTCATATAATGTGTGTTCATTGTTGATATGTAGACACTGAATTATTATTTTATCATAAATTTTATAGGCTGTGTTTAGCAGGCCTGTTTCTTTATAAGATTCATTCATTCATCAGTAATCTTTCAGACGACAGGTCCACGGTCTCTTCCAAAACAGTTCCTCCACTTAATGTGATCTAGAGCTTTCTCCTTCAAAAGAGAATATCCTCTTCTGTCCCCAAGGTCATCCAGCATCTTCTTACGTCTTCTTCCTCGTCTTCTGGTCACTTCTATCCGCCCCTCTATCTTTCCTCCAATAACTTCTTTTAGAAGGCAGTTACTGCGTAAGATATGACCAATCCAATTAGCCTTCCGTTTTCTTATTTCATGTAGGATATTCCTCTGCTCACTGACTCTGAATAACACTTCTTCATTTCTCACATAATCGGTCCAACTGATCTTCTCAATCCTTCTCCAACACCACATTTTGAAGCTTTCCAGGTGTTTCTGATCTACTGCCCTAAGTGTTCAAGTTTCAGCCCCATACAAAGCCATGCTCCAAATGTAACATTTCACTAGTTTCTTTCTCAAATTTAAGTCCAATTTGCTGGTAAAAAGATTCTTCTTCTTGCTAAATGCAGCTTTTGCCATGGCAATCCTAGATTTAATTTCACCAGTACACCTTCCATCATCTGTTAACAAGCTACCCATATATTTAAAACATTTCACATTCTCCAGTTGTTTTTGGTCTATCTTTATTGTGACTTGGGTTGGTTGTCTCGAAATTTTCATTACTTTTGTTTTTTCCACATTCATTTCCATGCCATAGCAATTTCGATTAGTCTGTCAATCATACCCTGTAGCACAGTTTCTTCCTTAGCCATTAACACAAGGTCATCTGCATATTTCACAGTCTGAATAATTTGCCCTCCTAATTTGAAGTCTCAAAGCCCATCCAGAGCTTCCTTGCTAAGGCATTTGCTGTACATATTGAACAAAATTGGTGATAAACAGCATCCTTGTCAAACTCCTCTTCCATTCTTCACACTTCTTGTCTCCCCTCTGTTCAGTCGCACTCTAACCTTCTGATCCATGTACAATTTACTAATCAATCTTCTTTCCCACCAGTCAATACCTTTTTCCTATAGGATCTGCATTAATTTTGTCCAATTTACAGGGTCAAATGCCTTCTGCCAGTCTATAAAGCAAGCACACAGTTCCTTGTCTTTTTCTGGATGATGGCCCATATAGTGCTTTGAAATAGGTTGTAATCACCTCTTTTCAGATTCTTATTTATTCACTATTTGAAGATCATCTTTCCTTCTAATTTGATGCTAATAACCTTTGCAGTTGAAACAGCATTGTATAATCTACTGATCTGTCAGCCAATGAAATTGCTGAACGTCATCACTGAAATATGAATTTATGTAAAATTACCTAATAATTAATATTTTTTCGTTTTCAGGCAGAAGTTCTGACAGGAATGGCGGTGCAATCTGTAGATGAAGCTAAGGTGGCAGTAGGTTTGCTCCTCGATAAAGGTTGCAAGCAGGTGATTATCACCTTGGGAGCATCAGGGGCTGTGTTTGCATCACAGGGCAATCTTACACCAGTTCATGTTCCCACTAAGACTGTGAAGTCAGTTGACTCGACAGTAAGTCCTTGCTGAATGATAATGTCCATACTGACTTCTTTTTTTCACCATGTGGCATCTTTACCAATTCATGTTAATGTCCATTTCATTTTATGTAAGTAATTCAGATTAGTGTACATTTCATATCAATAGGAAAGTACTGTGCTCTGTATTTGCCTAATTTTGTTTAAAATGCAGTCTCATCTTGGGTCCAATTTTTGAACATAAAGAAGTGAAGAAACTAATGCAATATCTGTTGAACATTCAATTGAAAATGTCTAAAGTAATATCTAATAACTATCAAATTGTGTCATAAGGTCATGACATTTTAGTTATTCCTTTCATATCTTAATCCCTCACACACCATTCCCTCCTTTCTTTTATCCAGTTTATGCCACGTCTTCTTCTTCCCTTTCTTCATATGCCTTTTCCTTCCCTTTAATTTGTCCATTCTATCATAATCGTTGCAAGCAGACATATACACAGTGCCATTTACAAAGATGTGAAAGGATATACATTTATTGGCAAATGGCACATCAAATGGCACTCAGTCAGACACTGAGAGTGGCAACATCATCATTAAGTTGCAGCAAAGAACATACTGTGTAATTGTTTTTTCTCTGTGGTGTGCATCCTTCTCAAGCACAAAGAAACATCATAAACAAACTTACATCATCTGGCTATTATGTACATAGTGTCAGAATTACAGATTTCTCTAGTAGCAGAATCTGTACAACACAGGGAAGAAGGTGGAAGTGACGTGTTGAAACAATGAACTACATGGTCTGACAGTAAAGTTCTTGAGCTGATCATGGAGAAGTGCTCCAAACCTCATTGCTGAATATCACTTTGGTCAACTTCAAAGTACTCCCCTTGGGAAGCTATGCACCGATGCCAGCACCAAAACAATTTTGGAACTGGTTTTATGGAATGGCCTTCCAATTTTATATGATGCTATATACTCTCAATATTGAAAGAGCATTATCAAATGAACCATGGAAAGAAAAACTACATATTATTTAATCAGCCACTATGCCACCTTCAGGGGTGTCCAGCTAAATTATTAAAAGGAATAAGGATTTTACAATTACCTACCAGTATTTTTAAAAATAATTATAACCGTGGCCATATATCCATATCTAAAGCATTAAAATATAAGATTATTATAGTAAAGTACAGCCAAAAACTAATTCTTATAACACACCTCAAGGTTCCTTGAGCAACCCACCCTCACGAGGCTGTCCTATTCCCCACTATCCCATCCCGGATTATAGTAAAGTACAGCCGAAAACTAATTCTTATAACACACCTGAAGGCTCCTCGAGCAACCCACCCTCACGAGGCTATCCTATTCTCCACTATCCCATCCCAAATTATAGTAAAGTACAGCCGAAAACTAATTCTTATAACACACCTCAAGGCTCCTCGAGCAACCCACCCTCACGAGGCTGTCCTATTCCCCACTATCCCATCCCGGATTATAGTAAAGTACAGCCAAAAACTAATTCTTATAACACACCTCAAGGCTCCTCGAGCAACCCACCCTCACGAGGCTGTCCTATTCTCCACTATATCATCCCGGATTATAGTAAAGTACAGCCAAAAACTAATTCTTATAACACACCTCAAGGCTCCTCTAGCAACCCACCCTCACAAGGCTGTCCTATTCCCCACTATCCCATCCTGGATTATAGTAAAATAAAACCGAAAACCAACTCTTATAACACACCAAATAATGGAAGGAAAAACAGAGAGCGATCGCCATTAAATCTGTCGCAACAGATGACAGAGAATAAGAAAACTTCTGTTGTCAATTCAAAGCCCGAGAATAGGGAGAATACAAGGGAAGAGAGCGAAACGGAGAGAAGAGATAATCAGAATTTGGACGACCAGGAAAAATTGGAGTCAGCAGTGAATGCCATGAATACCTCAGTGAAGAAGGAATCCCCAGGATTCTCGATCAAGAAGCTCTTTCGAGGCTTCGCTATTCTGCACTATATCATGCCCGATATTAGTAAAGGAAAGCCAAAAACAAACTCTTATAATATACGAAACCATGGAAGCGAAAACAGATAGCGATCGCTGTCCTGATCCACACTCTCCGATGACGTCCTTGGTTGTCACCTTTTCCGTCTGGCATCCGAAGGTTCCCTGGGGAGTTTCCTTCTTGAAGGCATTTCTCCAACATCGTGCCACTGTCGCGCGACAGGATGTCTTCCTGCAGGTGGCAGCCAGCTTCATCCGGGATTCATAGTCTCCTCGGGTCCAAGTTTTTCTGACGCTTTTCCTTCGATGCCATGCTACTGTTGCATGGTGGAACACCTTCCTGCGAACGACGGCCAATTTATTCTGGGGCCCGCAATTTTCCCATGTCGGATTCTTCGTATTTCGTTGATGTCGGTCCCTGCGCCTTTTCTTCTTCGGTTCTCTGACCGGTATTACTTCGGCGTCTTCTACGGGTACCTCTTGTAATTCTGCCGCCTCAGGTTTCCTGTGCACTGAGGCCGGCTCTTCATCTCCTGGATGTGCCTCCATTTCTCGGCAGGCCATCGTCACTCCGACCGGCATTACTATGTGGATCTCTTCTTGTTGTGCCGTCCGTTCTTGTGTTGCTTCCGTTTCTGCTTGGATAGCTTCTTCTTCTGCAGCCGTCTTTTCTCGCCAGGCGACCAACTCTTCTCCCCTGGCTTTCGAGTCGGCTTCCATTCTTATCCTTTTTGCATCCAATTTAGCCAGGAATTCTTCTTGGTTTGCTCTGATTTCCTTCAGCAGAAGTTCCATCATCTGCTGCATATCCTGTTACTCCATTTTTGTAGCAGTCAAATACTCGATGCACAATAATCCAATTATTTGTCTAGGCGTGTTTAAGTTCGTAAAAATTCTGACACCAAATGTAACGTGTTTCGAGTTCGAATCTTGTTGGTCACGTGTGTAAGTCCAAATCCTGTCGGTCACGTGTGTAAGTTCGTATCCCACTTCTGACACCAGCTGACACGTGTTGGGTGTATTTAACAAGACAAATAACTTCACGCCTTAGTGGATATAGCAAATTTTATTCCACATTCGCTCGTACAATCACACAGTTTACAGATTCACAATTACTGCTCTCTGCAGTATCGCAATTACTACACTGGAAAAGCCAGAATACAACTGACTGGTTGCTGGCTAACTCGTTACTCTCCGCTGGCTAAATGGAGAACTCTTGATCACACGCTAACTCGTAGGCTTGCTCGGAACTCACTCGGAACTAACTGTGAATAGTCTTCGCTGCTCCATATCTAGCCTCGTTCCGGACAACACAGAAAACAGCCACGTAATAGGCACCATTGTTGTGTGGTGCCGTGTTGCTAGCAACGCTGTCCGGAGTTGTTTACTGCCGCCTAGCAACCGCGGTATCCCTTGGTGACGTCACCGCTGTTGACTCGCGTTGCATAGCTACCAGGATGCTGGGACTCGGCTAACTTCGGCTCCGCTCGGCGCGTCAGCTCCCGGGGGGGGGGGCGTCCAGCTAGCGCGACACGTCACAGTAATTTAATGTTATAGGCATGAATTTTAACTGTATTAAAATACGTCTCAAAAAGATGGTAATGTAGTTGTAGAAGACATAAGTAAAGTAAAGTAAGTAAAGCTATCCCTGTAACAGGCCGTGAAGACCCATAGGTTTGTGAGATGTTGAGGGTCCCACACTATCTAGACAGTCGGCTCCAAGATGGTGGTGTTTCTTTTAATAAGGTAGTTGGACACCTCTGGAAATGGCTTACTGGCTGAAACATGTAGGATGAATTGATCATTAATCGGTGAAATTATGTATTGTTGTGTGATTATTTTCTGAATAGAATATATGAAAGGTACAACAACAATAATTAATGCTGAAAAGTTCTGTAATGTTGGAATACACGTTTCATTACAGGGTGCTGGGGATATGTTTGTTGGAGGTCTGGCTTTCTACCTGGCATATTATCCACAGTTGCCTATGAGAGAAATTGTGAAGCGATCATGTGAAGTGGCGACAGTGTCAGTACAAAACTATGGCACACAGACCAGTTTTCCAACAAAAGATGATTTACCAACTGAGTTGTTTTTGTAATGCAATTCAACCATGTAACAGAATGAAATGGAACAACAGTAAAACTTCTTTCAGTCTCAGGTTTCTCTGTGTTAATGGACACTGCTACAGTGGTAGATATACCTATTTTCCTAATGTGAACTTTGTTATTAATTTTACCATGTATAAAAGGGGAAGCTTGGCTAAATAAGTCAGTATAGTAACTGGGCTGCTGTTGGGAAGGCTGGGGAATTGGGGTGAGATTCTCAGAGAGGGCAGAGACTTTTCTCTTTGTCAAGTGTTCAAATCATGTTCAAGGCTGACCCAATCAGCTATCCAGTGGATAGTAAGGGTAAAGTGATCCAGGGATTGAAGCTGACTGCTCATCTGCACCTAGTGAAGTAGCAGTGAAGAAACCAGACCACTATTCAAAGGATTATGAGTACAGCCCCTGGCCAGAGCTATTTGTGTGTATGAAAGATAAAACTTTTGAGAATGTGAAGAATACCAGCCCCCCCTCCCCCCCCAAAAATTCGGAGCCAACATTAAGATGATTGTCTTCTCTGGTGACTATGATCCATGACCACACACTTAAAGGGGAAACAGAATCTGCTTTATGAGTGCCCTCACCTCAGAAGTAGATTTTATGCCCTGGCCTGGGTAGACAGGGGTCAGAAATCTTGATGCATACCAGATCTTGAGACACAAAAAACAACAACAGTGACCTTATACATTAAAATTCCAGGTATCTGGTGTCCAAGAATCTGGAATTAATCATCCAACACGCAGAAATTTCAAAGATAAAATTTTTCAAAAACAAATTTGTGATGCATGTATATTCATCTGCCATGCGATAGTCCTCCCAGCCACCACCAACAATCCTACCTGTCATCCTTTGCATACAGGTGCCATTACAGTAGAGGATAATTGAATATGTTATCACTTTACAGTATATGCATTCACATTCTTTCATGTGTCAGTCTGCTGTGTCATCAAGGAAGACTCCCATTGAAGGGACTAAAGTGAAAACATGTTTTCTGACTTTGTATTGTGTTTCTGAAGAGTTTATCTCATGCAGCCATTGGATCCCATTTCCATACATAGCAGGGAGTTTACTGTATAGCAATTCATGTGCAATATAAGGTTTACAAAGGAAAAGCTAAAAATGCACTTTGGTCTACATTATAAATGTAGGTGCTTCTAGAAGTGTTTTCTTTGTTGAGGTGAGGTATAAGTTTATTGTTCCATAACAAAGTGTGTAATCAGTTCTATATACATGGAAGTGTTTGAATATACACACTTCAAGAAGAGTCACATTTCCCATAAGTGATGTATATGAAGTAATGTTGATGCTTCAGCTGAACATATTGTGACATGTGGACCTGTTGCTAGGCAACGACTGCAAAATAAGCAGCTATACAACCGTCGTTACTAGATACTGTTACTAGGTTCTGTAAACAATGACCGTTGCTATGTAATGGTCACAAAAGACATGCACACAATGGTAGAAGAACTGATGGAAGCGGTGTTTTTGTGCAGTCCCTGCCCAGGATATATAACAAGGAACAGCTGCAATTATGAGAGAGTCTTGAGATGGCAGTGAGAAGAGAGGGAAGTTGGTGTGAGATGGCCACCAGCCAGGGAGTAAGTTGAGAGTCAGCAGTTGGAGCAAGGAGTTAGTTGTGGGACAGCTGCCAGCTGGTAAGAATGTGAGCACAGAAGCAGAGGACATTGTTGAATCCATCACCAGGCAATGACCAGTGAAGACACAGCAGACTGAGAAGACTATATATACGCTGTAGTGAGCTGCAGAGTGAGTGAATTAGCATTAGCACTGTAGTTATTTGTAGTTACATTCTGCAAGAGTTCAATAAATCCCATTACCAATCCAAGCCCCATCTATAGTCACTCTGACATGTGACAATATGGATTAAAATTCTGTGTTATAGTGTAAATACCTATGGATCAGTGTCAAAAGAATTGTTTGATTGGGGGGGGTAGTGCAGTCAGAGAAGGTGGCAATTTTTTGGCCTGCAGCAAGACCTGCCACCCTTTCTGCATTTTAAACACAGAAATACCAACTTGGCAGATCTGCCTTTCACTACCTGCTGGCAGTTACTCACATGACCACATGCCTGTATGCCCATATAGAATTGTACTTATGTATTTTTTTTTTTTTCCAATTTTTTGGGGGGAGGACTGCGTAACATCAAGGACCACAGGAAAGGACAATTAAGTGTGTATGGTTGTCTGCTATGTGTGGTGGTAAGTGAGTGTTATTATTTCTTTACTATTTTAGCTACAACTTTTGCAATAGTGATAAAGGAAGCAAACACTCCGGGAGAATAACGGGCACTTCTGCTAGTCCACAATAAATTAATGCTAAGGGTAATTAAGTTAGCAAAATAGANGCTTATACTTTTTCTTCTACCCTGAAGATGGAGGCGATACGTGCCTCCGAAACGTCGGTTAACACCACTTATACACGGTGCCAAATCCCAGAAGACTGCTTTCTTCAAAATAGAATGCAATTCGGAAAATATGTATACTTCATCGGAGGGTGCATTCTGCATTTTTCATTTTTATGGAAAAGCCTGACATCCGTTTTGGTATGTTAGGTGTTATTTATGAAAATTAATAATTATCTTTTACGGGTCGGCGAGCCGTTCTGTATATATGAACACGTAGCACGCAGGAGCGTACAGAGTCTGCGGGAGCTAGGCAACGAAGCTGGAGTTTCAAGTTTTCATGTACAGATGGCGCAGTAATGTACTATTATTTGAAGCTGTGTAACGCATTGCATGCTGGTATTTACGTCCAGGATTTTGTGTAAGGTGCAGATGAATGCATTTACTTCTTAAATTTTTAATGTCCATTAAATCTGATACGTTCTGATATTTATATTTTAAATTGTAGATTAAATAAACAAATAGAATATTTAATTTACACAAACTAACATACACAAAAAGTATGAAACAATTTCAACTGTTTCCGAAATAATATTGACAACTCTAGGATTTGAATTGTAAGTTACCAGCGTACCCGTGCAACAAAATATGTACAGCAATTTCAAAAATTATTGTCGGTTCATAATAGTTATTTATATTTAACGTCTCTTGGTCCTTGGTCTTAACAGACGTCATTTTTGTGACATTCATATCACAATTCAATAGTCTGAGCTATTGACAGTGTCATTAAACAAACGAACACGTCTTGTGGGAAGGTCCTAGAAAGGAAATTAAATTCCCACTATAAACTGGCTTTACTATGGAATTTCACATACACAAAATTGTAGCGCACAATTTATGACTACTTGAACACAAATAATTTACCACAAAAATCTACATCACGTCATAGTCTATCGTAGACCGTGGTTGGTACCGAAGGGACGACGTTTTGAAACAGTGTCTGACATCCAAAGAAAATCGCAAGCGGTACTCGACAGCATTAAGGAAACCATAACTATAGACAGAAATATAAACTCCTTTCAGGGCACCATCACGATAATTGTGAAACGTGTGGTTTGTCAAAGCAATCAGAATAATGTCGTCTCGCCTCAGACCAGCAAAGGAAAATAAATTTCAGCACGCGAAAGAGATCATCTTCATACACAGAGAAACACGTTTGTGCTGTCGGTTGATCTTATTTCATTGTAATGATGGAATAATAGATGTCTTGAACATCTACCATCAAAATATCTACTCAAGTATATGCAAAAGTAAATTTACAATTCAGAAATAAATGTTTTAAGTTTGAATAGCATATATACATTCTTTGAAATACTTTGGAATACAATTTTGAACTTTCTTACAGGACACCGTTATCTCAGACAACCAACCCGTTTATTAGTTGTGTACTCCAACATCAGCTACACTTTTCAATTCCTTTTTTTTTTTTTTTTTTTGCGTCAACGCCTAAAGCCTTTCTTGATTTGGTACCCGACGTAAAATGTTAGGAAAAGATCAGTAAAGCATGCCCGAAGTCCAAACACAGTTATTATATTCTGGAATGTTAAAGTAAGCTGGAAAATGTTGCAGAATTGACAAATCTGCGTAAGTACGTTGCTGTCTTGTAACTCAAACAAAACGTCCGCGAAGATAAAGCTATCGCACCGTATGAGGAGTGTGGGTCAAGTGGTAGGAACTGCAATGCGCATGTACATATGAATTGAGCGGGAAACGTGTACATGCGCACTGAGTTTGGAGGCACTGGTACAGACCGTACAGACCATGTGATGGCGGTTAGGTAACAGTTGCGTTCAGTTGGTTCTTGCATGGCTCGCGTTGAACATCTGGAAGCAGGCGGGGAGGAGGAAAGTTTGTGCTATGTGTGAGTGTTGTTGAACGAAATTGTTTTTATTTACATTATAACTACCTAGAGTTGTGTCGTGTGTTTACAGAATAACGGAACAGAAGAAATAGCTACTATAGGATTCTGACAATGGTGTATAATACACTGAGATATTGGGTTTTCGGACTTTATCCTTCGTCCTGGTTTTTAAGATAACTAAGAAAAACGCGACGTTTCGGAAACTGGATCTCTTTCCGTCCTCAGGTGAGGGAAAACACTTATTCTGTTGGGTCTAGTGATTGAGGCTAGCTTTTTCTAAGGGACCCAACAGAATAGGTGTTTTCCCTCACCTGATAACGGAAACAGATCCAGTTTCCGAAACGTCGTGTTTTTCTTAGTTGTCTTAGAAACCAGGACGATGGATAAAGTCCGAAAACCCAATATCTCATTTTCTGTACAGAGCATTATGCAGATGAGAAAATAAATTACATTGAATTTACAATTGAACCATACTTGGTATTTCGAAAAGATTTGTTCTGGCTTCATGATACTTTGGCCAATAAAATGGCCTTAAATGAATAACTTCGGGTTCTTATTACACATTCTTTTAGATGTCATTTTGCTGTTGAGGAAAAGTGAGCTCTGATCATAAACTGTTACGCAAAGGCAACTGTGAAAGAATTAATAAAGTTGGAGAGAAATTACTTCACAAAAATTTAGAATTGTATTCTGTGATTCAGAAATATCTATTCAAATTATGGAAAAAAAATTGGAAATAACCGCTGCTTTCGTAGTTTCAAAGGGTTGTCAG